ATGTTACCTTCTCATCATAGTAACTCAGAGACTGATGCCCCTCCCCCAGGATGGAACAGGCACAGACATGTCAGATCTGAGTGGGAGACCTGACAGCTGCAGCAGCCAGTAAGGTGAGTCTGGATCTGATACATCCCCCACCCACAATAGTCCATGGGGCATCTGACCCATGCTGAGAGAAACTCTATCAGCCTGCACTAAGATTGGAGGGGAGGGGCTGGAGACCAGAGCTGTTCCCTAAGGCGGAGACCTGAAAGGAACCAAAACTCACGGAAAGGACCAGAGAGCAAGTTTTGTCTTTTTTTTTTTTCCTTCTTTTTTGTTTTAGTTTTAGCTTTTCTTCTTTTTTCTTTTTTTGTTTACATTTTTGTACTTGCTTTATTTATGTTATTCTAATGATTTTATTTTAAATTTTCTGATTACGTATGGGTATATTTAAGGGAGAGTACACAAACAGGGCGGTTTTTTTTTTGTATGATTGTCTGTATGTTTTTGTCTTTTTTGTTTTTTCTGTCTTTATTTGTCTCTGTTTATTTGTTAGTTGGTACATCTGTCTGTTTTTCCTCTTTTTCACTCTCTCCACCTCCCTTATGTCTTCCTCTTTCCTTTTTCAATTTTTTCCCCCTTTTCTTATCTCATTTTGCTTCCGGGGGGCAAACAGACACCCCACTGCATGGACAGATTGTAAGACAGTAGGAAGGTGGTTCCAGGGGACCCATACACCTGTCAGCAGATACTGGGATCTACAGATAGCTTCTGAATCACAGTTCTACCCTTAATTAAATCTCAAAACAGAAAAAAACACAGGTTCCCCCCCCAGTCCAGCCTCAGAATTGAGTAAAACCAGAGGATCTATGTAAGAAAGAAAGGGAGATTGAAGAAACAGAAATAAAAGCTATCTCCCCATCAATAAACAACAGAATTAAAGAAGAAGTAAAAAAAAGGGGGGAGGAAAACCTACAAAAAATGAAGAAAAACCAAAGGAGACCTCTGGGAGGTCAGCCACAGACAATACAGACTGTGAAACTGAAACAATGAAGAACACCCAGAACGACTGGTCTCAAACCACAAACCCAGATATCAAGATATTAATAGAGAGAATAAATAGAAATGAGGAGAGACAAGAGGAAAGAATGAGGGAGTTGATAACTGAGTTAACAACAATAAAAAATACAGTGAATGAAATAAAAAACAAACAGATAAGCAAGGAAAACAGAATTAGCCAAGCAGAAGAAAGAACCTCAGAGCTTGAGGACCAAAATATGGAACTAACCCAAACTGTTAAAAACATAGAAAAGAAGCTTAAAAAGAAAGAACAAAACCTCCAAGAGATGAGTGATTATTTCAAGAGACTGAACTTAAAATTAATTGGTAAGCCCTGAGGCAGACAGAGACACAGAGACCATCCTGGAACAAACATTCCATGAAATTATCCAAGAAAACTTCCCTCACCTCATCAGTGATGTGACCATTTAAACACAAGAGATTCAGAGAACCCCTACAAGACAACAAATGAGAAGACCAACTCCTAGACACTTAGTAATTCACCTAAACAAAGTAGGTATAAAAGAAAAAAACCCTAAAGGCAGCAAGAGAGAAAGGTCAGACTGCCAACCAGAGAAGACCAACTGAATTGCAACAGATTTAACTACAGAAACACCTCAAGCTAGGAGAGCTTAGAGTCCAATCTTCAAAGTTCTTAAAGATAAACAATTTCAACCAAGAATTATCTACCCAGCTAATTTTCATCAGTGATGGAGAATTAAAATCCTTCTGAGTCATTCAATTCCTAGGAGTTTACGCTGCCTCCAGGCCAGTTCTAAAATAAACACTTAAGAAAGTCTTACACACAAAAGAAAGGGAAAAAAGCATGACAATGCCCTTCACAAGAATGCAGGAAAAAGACTGAAAACACACATGAATCAACCCAAAAATCAAAAGAAAGACAACAAACAAACAGCAGCAACAACAAACTCCGTAAGAACCTCATGACAGGGATAAACTCGTACATGTCATAATTAGCCTGAATGTGAATGGACTAAATGCACCACTGAAAAGATACAGAATGGCAATATTGGATAAAATATCATGACCACGAACAGTCAAAACAATCATTATCAAAAAAAAACAAAGCAGGAGGCATCATACTCCCAGACTTTAAGCTTTATTATAAAGCTACAATAATCAAAACAGCTTGGTATTGGTACAAGAATAGGCATATAGACCAATGGAACAGGATAGAAATTTCAGAAGCAAAGTATCAATTTCTCAACCAACTCTTCTTCACCAAAGCCTCCACTATCAACCACTGGGGAGAGAAGAACCTGTTCTAAATGGTGCTGGGAAAACTGGCTAACCACATGTAGATGGTTAAAACAAGACCCCTACGTATCCACATACACACAAAAAAAACTCTAAATGAATCAAAGACCTAAACATAAAACTTCAAACTATAAGAACCTTAGAAAACGCAGGAGACACCCTTATGGAAGTTGGAACTGGCAACCAATTCCTGATCAAAACCCCATGTACCCATGCCATAAGAGGTAAGATAGACAAGTGGGACCTCATCAAACTACAAGCTTCGGCCAAGCCAAAGAAACCATTTAGAAAGTGGGGAGACAGTCCACAGATGGGAAAACATATTTGCCAATTGTATATCTGACATAGGCCTAATATCTAGAATCTAAAAGAACTGAAACGTGTTGAAAGGAAAATAAACAAATAGCCCTATTACAAAGTGGGCAAAAGATATGAATAGGCACTTCTCAAAAGAAGACATATGAGGAGACAACCAATACATGCTTAGCCTCACTAGTCATCAAAGAAATGCATATTAAATTCACACTGAGATACCACCTTACTCCAATCAGGATGGCCATCACCAAAAACTCAAAAAACAACAGATGCTGCAGAGGATGCGGCAAAAAGGGAACACTTCAACACTGTTGGTGGGAGTGTAAACTTCCACCAATGAAAACAGTGTGGTGATTCCTAAAAGATCTAAAAATCAACTTCCCATATGACCCCACAATCCCCCTACTGGGAATATACCTGGAAGAACTCAAATCACTCTTTGGAAAACATACCTGCACATGCATGTTCATTGCACCATTATTCACAATAGCAAAAACATGGAACCAACCGTGCTACCCATCAAAAGTGGGCTGGACAAAAAAGTATGGTCTTACACACAGGGGAATATTACACAATCACAAAGAAGGACAAAATTATGAACTTCACAGCAACTTGGATGGACTTAGCATCTATAATACTGAGTGATCTGTCACAGAAACAAAGAACCGAGTGTCACGTGTTCTCACTCATAAGCAGAACTTGAACAAATAAGGTAATACTATGATAAAGCGATTGGCAGTAATGGGAAACTTCCAGGGGAGGGCGGGGGCGGGACTGGCAGTAGTGGGACACTGTCAGGGGTAGGGGGTGCACACCTCATCAGCAAGGGTACCTGCATAATGAACATTTATATACCCAACCCTGAAATGTACCCCACATATTTAAAATTAAAAATAAAAAAGAATAGCTAACAATAATTTATATTTCAAAATTAATTAAAAGAGTGAAGTTGGAATGTACTTAACACAAAAAAATGATAAATTCTTAAGGTAATAGATATTCCAATAACCTCATTTGATCATTACACATTAATTGCTTGTATTAAAATATCTCACGTGCCCCATAAATAAATACAACTATTATGTATCCATAATAACTAAAAATATAATTTAAAAATATATATAAGCCTCATCTCTACAATAAATCAAGAAAGATGGGGGAAATTTAAACTGTCAGTTATTGAAACATCTTAAAGCCACAATTATAGTCAAACTAAAAAGTCCACGAAACAAATCAGAAAGTCTAAGAATTAATCTATATTTAAACATAATAAAGATGGCATTTCAAATCATTAGAAAAGGATGGACTGTTCATATCTTAGGGAGGCAACATGGCACAGTGTTCATGGGGCACAGGCTCCAGAGCCTGAACAGAATACTTGAGTTGCCATGTCCTAGCTGGTGACTCATGAGGATAATAATTGTCCCCACTTCACAGAATTGCTGAAAGAATAATCATTTACAATTTGTAAAGTGCTTAAAACAGGACTAATACAGTAAGTGCTATGCAAATGGTGTTAAATAAAAGAAAACAATTAATGATAATACTTAAATATTAAGAACAGGAGCACACAGTGATCAAAACTTCCCATCATACCATAAAAAAAAATTTTAGTATATTAAAAAGTGAATGGTGAGAAAATGAAACTAGAAAAACAAGGACTATTCATCTGACCTCTAGTTTGGGGAATACATTTTAAAATATGACAGCAAAACAGTATTTAAAGAAAGCATTTTAACAGATTTGACTACATAAAAATCCTAAAAGTATGTATATCAAACACTAAGAATTAAGAAGAAAATAAAAACTTAAGGAAAAACAAGTATTGCGGACTATCTATATATGTATATAAATACTCTTACAAATCAGTAAGAAAAAGAATAAGCAAGTCACAAAAACTTTTAATAAAATTAAGAAAATAAGCAACATTGTTATAAACCAAAAATGTAAATTATAATAAAATTTTTCAACCATCAAATTGGCCAAGGTTTTCAAATATTACATTATTAGCCAACAGGCAGAAAAATTGATACTTTCTACATGGGAGATTGAAAAATATATTGAAACAAACTATATAGGAGTCACTTTGCTTATATGCTTTAAAAAAAAAAACTCTTTAAAATATTAAGCCTCTTTGACCTAGTAACTCCATTTCTAGGACAAAGTAAGAACATAAAGGATTCCATGGATACATTTCAAATCACTTTTCAGAGACGAAACAAAATCAGTGGAAAAAAGGATGTGAAGAAATACTTTACGTTTCAAATATAAATCTAAGAAAGTTCATCTAAAAATGTAATACTTGTTTCACTGTACAATTAATCTTTACTATTATCAAATTTCAAAAAAGTTTTAAAACAAACCTTTTAACAGCATCCTTCTTCTGAACATCTATAATATCCCACCACTCTGAAAGGTAAGAGATCTCAGACCACATAAACTTCCTCCTTGAGTCTTCTTTCAGCTTTAGGACCATGTTATTAAAAATATACTGAGTCTTGTCTCTAAAGTATTCACTGAAAGTCTTCAACCAACCTAAATCAAGACACAAATATACCACAAAGGTCTGATTCACATGGCTGAACTCAGTTACACTCTATTGCAATACCTTTGGACACCATTAGATGTTTCATTCATATAAAGATATATTTTAAAATTTAACAAGTCTTTACAATTAATGAAATTCCATTTAATTGGCACAGGACTCAGAAATCCACTAACACTGAAACAATGAAAATACTCTGAAAGCTGTACAAATTTAGACAGAAACAAAAAAATAAGAAAGATGACCTAAGGCCAAGAAGCAGTTATTTATACCTAAAAATCATAGCATCTAGTTCTATTTTTTATCTCTAGATTAAGGATTTTTTTTTCATTTTAAAAATATGAACAATGTCAACAAGCTGGCAGTACTGTCCTCATAATATATGGGGTACAAATGTTATCCTGTCATGCCACATCTAAATTAATTCCCCACTCATTAAATAAGTTAAATTTGTTAAAAAGAAAAAAATCATAAGTATAAACTATACCTAAAAGCTAGCAGCACAGCAATGAGGTAATTACAGTATTAATATGAATCTTGAAAAGTAGTAATAAGTAGAATTCTACCAGATACAGGTTGGTTCCCCTTTAAGACTTGATTATTCAATTTTTTTAGAACCACAAAGTGACACTAATCAAATGTATACACATCTTGTTTTTTCAAAATTAAATTGTACATGTTGACAGCTGTTATCTGATTTTTTTCCTATACTTCCCAAATATCCTGGAAATTTCATCTAAAGACATCTGCAATTTGGCCCTAACAAACATTTTTTAATAAGACCCACCAGTCCAAACATAGCCCCATCAGGCTAAAATGGCCAAGGTAAAAACATACACAGCCACCAAGTCTACCTACTGGTGACAGGTAAAGTGGAACCACTGGAAAAATAACCTGTTCTCATCTATAAAATCTTACAGGGAGGAGTTTCTATACATCTAGGCTGAACTACTGCTATTATTTCCAAACCTCATACATGTGAAAGAACTAAAGGATTAGGGATCTAAATGGCTGTTTCTTGCCTGTCTATGGTTAAGTTAGTATTATACACTGTATTTAGTGGGGGGGGGGGAGGCCTTCCAGGACAAAAATGTAATACAACTATTTTGACAATGCCAATAAGAACTTTTGAAAAAGGCATTGCAGTTATGACTATATGTATCCCTGTTGCTTTAACTGAAATCTACTCACTCACTCTATAATTATTATTGAGCACCTATAATGCGCCAAGTATGAACCTATGAGCCAAATAGGAATAAAGTATAAACTATCCTTTATAGGACTTTATTGACGTGGAGCACTTTTAAGTATAAGTATTTGTCACCATAGAACACTTCCTGTATACTTTAATTTTTCCAAGTTTCACTAAAAAAAGCCTGCAACTATAGAAAAACTCAAGATATGTCATCAAATAGTGGTTTCCATAGAATCCCACCTAACTTCACAAAGGTCCTAACCTGGAGCACACCCAGAGCACTAAGTCAGGAACCACCTCTGGTATCACAGGGATGAGCCAAGAAAATCTAACCTATCCTTAAATGAGAATGCCCTAATTCCCTGCTGACTATGCCAAGTGCTAACTTAAAAATGTCAAATGCTCAGAACCAAGCTTGGGACAATAATATAGCACTTGATAAATATTAGCTGCTATTATTATTATTATCATTATCATCATACCGTTAATTGCCCTTTCCCTCACTTCTACAATTAAACCAAGTAAAGAAGCATTTTAAAAAATATTTCTACACATTTTTTTTTTGAGTCGAGGTCTCACTCTGTCACCTAGAGGACAGTTGCAGCTCACTGCAGCCTTGAATTGCTGGGCTCAAGCAATCCTCCCTCCTCAGCCTCCTAAATAGTTGGAACTACAGACATGTGCCAAAAAAAAATTAGATTAGCTAATTTTTAAAATTTTTTTGTAGAGGTGAGGTCTCACTACCCTGTCTAGGTTGGCCCTTAACACCTGATTTTTAAAAGTATACAGTCAGAACATTTAAATAAACTGTTCCACATCTCAAGCATATTGGTTACTCAAAATTTCAGTTTGTATAGAATTCACTCTATATCCTTGTTATGAGCAGAATTCTGTCATATGTTGGAGTCCTAACCCCCTCTACCTCAGAATGTGACTACATTTGGAGACAGGGTAAAAAGGTAATTAAGGTAAAATGAGGTCATGAAAGTGGGCCCTAATCCTGTACGACTAATGTCCTTATAAAAAGAGGAGATCAGGACACAGACACATTTAGAAGGAAGACCATATGAAGACACAGGGAGAAGACAGCCATCTACAAGCCAAGGAAAGAGGCCTCAGAAGAAACCAACCCTGCTGACACCTTGATCTTGAACTTTCAGCCTCCAGAACTGTAAGAAAATAAACGGTTGTTGTTTAAGCCATCCGGTCTGAGGTACTTTGTTATAAACAGCCTTAATAAATTTATATAGTCCTAGAAAAAACTAGTGTTATTACCATCCCAAAAGTAAAGATTACAATGTGGAGACAAATTTATTTTATTAAATACCATCATAATATTTAACATACTATATCTACCTATATATTGCAAAAATAAGCTAAATTCAAATATGTACATAAGTTAATGTATTTCTGAACCACGCTCTTATGTTATATGTAACCTAAGGACCACGAAAGTTATTTAAATGGCTATATTGGAATTATCGTTGGGATATCACATATACCTTTTTCCTAAATTTTAACAAAGGTCAAAACATCCCTAATTATCTGACTACTAACTCAATTAAAGAACTATGAATAGTGGAATGCCTCCAAAATTAACTTAATAATTAAAATTCCCACAATCTAGCATAAAAGGCAAATTTAGAAGGACTAGTCTTTATAAAGATCGGTAAGTAAAAGGATTTTTTATACAACTATTTATTTTCAACAGTTATAACTTATGATGAACTAAGACCATTTCAAAGATGAGTTTGTCACAGGAGTTTGCATACAGGAATTACAGTGACTGATTAATCCATTTTGCCTTCAACATTTCATTTGCCCTTCAACAATCATGCAGAAAATATGACAGATATTTACGTGAGCCAAAATACTAGCTCAGAGATGTCAATTTAAAAGGCTTCCATAAAACTCACACTAACATCACTACAATATAGCACAATTAATGAAGAATGAACTGAAAGATAGCCTCTTGAAGCTTTTGCTATTGAGTAATATAACAGTAAATTAGCTTTTATTGCTCTTATACAATAGAGTAATCAAGTATTCCCTTTTACACTGAATCGGTTCTTCTTCTAAATTACTGTAAAAACTACAATTGTATATTAACATGAAACCAATCAGAAAGATGGTATTTTATGAAAAGTTGTATGTTATGAATTTTTGTGACATAAAATTATATTCCTATCTCTAGATTTAATAATCTTAGGATACTGAGTTGCAAACCGATTTACTTAAGTGGTCAATTCACAGCTTTTTTTTTTCCCCCTTTAATATACTTGGAAATTAAGCCAGGGCTAGAAAGCATTAAGAATACCTTTCAGTGTATTATTTTTCACTCTAACAACACTACCACCTACAAAAAAGCTAATAGCTATTTTAAATAAGTGGGGAAATATTTAAAACAAAAAATGCATAATTAGAAGTTCTACAAAGCAGAGAAAAATCTAAATTTAATACCACTATTTTACTATTAAAAAAGATTTAAGTTCTAAAAGTAAAATATAATAAAGTTGGAAACGATTGCCTGTTTCCAGTATGCATGAACAATTAAGTACCTAGTAACTGTTCACTGACAAATTATAATTTATTTTTAAGATATGAGATTCTTGGTCATAGTTTCGAAATGTAGAGTTCTGATGCTCTTAAGGAACATTTAGTTTTATTTGGTTCAAGGGCATACACAGAGCCACCTGAGGACCTGGGCAAGAGATGCTTACCCCTGAGCCCTGGAAGACTCTAGAAGAACCTCTCATTCTTCCTCTGATCACACACACCCCTTTCAACAGATGTCAAAGAACTTGCTCACCCAGAGTAAATAATCTGCCCTTCTGAGTATGAGGACTCAAAAATATGTGTCCAAAAAACCCCAAACTGGCTTCCATAAGCCCTTCTATAAGTCCTCTGCCATCTAGGCTCTCAATCCTGCAAGCAGGAACCTTCCTAGACTGAGTAGTGGCCAAAAAGCCACAGTTAGTAGGGGTACAGAGTGCCAGGATATCTGCAAGCAAGGCCCCTCCTGGTTTGGGACAAAGCCAGGTCTAGGAAGAGAAGGCAGTGGATGGGGCTGCCTAACAGGCTGGCTCTCTCCATATACCACCACCTTCCAGGAAGGAAATGGAGACAAAGTAACTAAACCCACACTTGGTCTTCCAGATCACTAAGCTATTTCTCCAGGCAGGAGGAGAAGACCTATTTTTCTCTTTTTGTAATGTATTACTTTGATTTGTAACTTTTAAATGTTTAAATACAGGGTATGTGGGCCTCTGTGTAATTTTGCCCCAGATCCTGCACATTTCTGCAACTCAAACTTCAAACCAGTCAACTCTCAGGAATCTAGCATTTGGTGAAACCTACAAGAGCAACAGCAGCTATAAGTACTTGATAGATGAATTAAATGTATGGACAAGAGGACTGAAACAAAGTATGTGGAGTGCATATGCATATTTATTACTTCAACTAGAAATGAGACCAAAAGTTAAAAATACTACACTATTAGCTTTAATGTGTTCACTGCTTGTTCTAATTCTTTGTCCAACATCTTTAAGTTTCTACAAAATTTTATATTTATTTACTCTTATTTATATCTATACTTTGTATATTATTTTATTGTTTTATACTTACATATCTTAATTAATTTTTTATATTTAATTATTTTATAGTAAATATTTATATTTAAAAAGGACCTGTCAGCCCTAAGATGATTTAAAGCACCCATCCTTAAGGAGACATCTGCTCCTCAAAAAGCACTGTTACATGGTTATGACCTTAACTACTAAAATAATTTTTTTTAAT